AAGGCAGGCCACCGAACTGCTGAGCTAAATCCCCGGCCCAATCAACAAATATTTTTAAAACTTCTATGTTGAGGGTGGGGGATTTAGCTCAATGGTTTGGTGGCCTGCCTTGCAAGCACAAGGACCCGAGTTCAATCCCCAGTACCAAAAAAACAAAACAAAAAAACTTCTATGTTTAAATGGCTTGACACTGTTTCAAGTCAGTGAAATATATATATATTAATGTTGCAAATCATACTCATTATATATAGAGATGTATAGCTATATATAATCTACATATATCTAGATATAGATGTAGCTATATAGCTATATATAGACATATCTACATATATATAGATATATAGCTATATATCTATATATAGACATGGTTAGTATGATTTGCAACATTAATGTCTTATTATTTTCTCATTTCTGGGAGAATATATCCAAAATCCACAAGGTAAAGCAAAAAAAGGCTTATTTTAGGTCAAATTTTGTCAGTCCATAGTTGACTGGATCTAAGCAAAGGGACATGGCAGAGAGACATTGTAGAGAAGAAACAGTCCATGGCGTGGGAAGCAAGAAATAGCAACAACCTGATTTTGGCCCTTTATTTCCATCCAGGGTACAAGCTGCTGGTTGGTGCCACCCACACCAAATGTGGGGCTTCCCTCTTCAGTGAATCCATTTAGCCACACACAGAACTATGATAATTCAATTAAGGAACTAATCCAGATATCACACACCCACAATGAATATTCACACACCCTAGATCCAGGCACAGAAGCCCCACCTATTAGACCTGAGGCTTTGGGGAGATATCTAAGTACAAGCCATAATAATCAATTCATTTAGCATTATCTCACAATTGCTTAAAACTTTTAAAATTCTTCTCCTGGTATTTTGGAAACTTTTCCTTACAGAAGTATCATATTTTTTACTCAGGTGCAGAATGATCCTGAAATAAAACATAAAATCAAGATACAAGCTTTACTTTACCCTGGCTTACAAATGATCGATACTTATTTACCTGCCCATCGAGAAAATGAACATGGTATCGTGCTGACAAGGGATGTAACCATAAAACTTGTGAGTTTGTATTTCACTAAGGATGAAGCACTTCCAGAGGCAATGAAAAAAAACCAACACATGCCTGTGGAATCCAGACATCTCTTTAAGTTTGTTAACTGGAGTACTCTTCTTCCTGAGAAGTTTAGAAAGGACCACGTTTACACTGAACCAATTCTTGGAAGATCCGCTTATTCATTTCCAGCACTTTTGGATTACAGAGCATCACCCTTGCTGGCCAATGATTCACAGTTACAGAATTTACCACTGACCTATATCCTTACCTGCCAATATGATATCCTTAGAGATGATGGACTTATGTACGTTTCAAGACTTCGGAATGTTGGCGTCCAAGTAGCTCATGAGCATATTGAGGATGGAATCCACGGAGCCTTATCATATATGACAGCACCATTTTATTTACACCTAGGTCTTAGGATAAAAGATATGTATACTGGTTGGCTGGATAAGAATTTATAAATGTGCAATGCGTGCATCTCGGAATTTTAATTTGTGACACTTTGTAATTGTGGTGAAAAGAGCCATGTAATTTTTAAATCCAGATTTGAATTAGGTGTAACAGTTACTTTGTGTCTTAAATGAGTTACTAAATCTTCTGATGTATAGGCATTGTACATAGAATGTGGTTCAGTCTAGTTTCTCCTTACTTTGAATTTACTGTAACTATGGCAGTCCAAAAGGGACCAATGTTTATTAAATTTGTGGAATAAAAATTTCTCCAATCAGGGAAGATAGTTTCCAAGATCATCACTGAAAATATAGATGTGAATGGGCAGAAAGATTACAAGGAAAAATAAATTGCTGATAAAAATGGCATGGAAACTGTTGGGCTATACAAATTTTAAGGGCCTTTTATTAGTTTCCTGTAACAAATTACAAACAAAACAAAACTGGGGGTTCAAAATGAAAGAAATTTGTTCTGTTAGTGTTTTGTGTATCTAAAGTTCAAAATTAAAAGATCTGGGCCAAAGTCAGTCAAGGCGTGAGCAAGAGCCACACTCCCTCTGCAGAGTCTTGAATAAGATTTGTTCTTCTTGGGGAGCGGGCAATTTAGCTCAGTAGTTCCACTGCCTGCCTTGCAAGATAAGGACCTGAGTTCAATCCCCAGTACCCACCCTCCGAAAAAATCTGTTCTTTCATCTTCTAATGATGGCTGGTTTTCCTTGACTGTAGCCAATATCTTCACTCAAAATCTGCTCCATCTTCACATGGCAGTCTCCTCTACCTGTGTCAAATCTCCCTCTATCTTCCAATTAAAACATACTTGTGGGGTTTTTTTTGTTTTTGTTTTTTTGTTTTTTGTTTTTTTTTGTTTTTTTGAGACAGGGTCTCATTATGTAATAGAGACTGATCTGGAACTCACTATGTAGCCCAGGCCGGTCTGGAATTCACAGTGATCCTCCTGCCTCAGCCTCCCAAGTGCTGGGATTACAGGCATGTGCCACCAGGCTCAGTTCATACATGTGCTTTTAGTTTATGGATCACCTAAATAATCCAGGTGATTTCTGCACTTCAAGTCCGTAATTTACAAGTATTCTCCTCATTTTTTAACATAAGCAACATACACTAGGACATATCTTTCAAAGCCATTTTTAGAAAACACTGTCAATTGATTCTAAAAAAAAACACATAAATTTTATAATGCAAGAATATATTCTAAATGTACCCTTGGTACTCAAGTATATCTGAGCATGAAGAGAAAAAAGCTTTTTTCCAAAAACTCATCAAATATTTCAGCTCAAATTACCACCCCCAAAAAATATATGACCTCTTTTGTGCTTTCATTGAGTAGAACCATAAAAATGTTAAAGAATTATTTGAGTAAAAATAAACCTGAACTACAGTAGTATGAATCTTGGGCAATGAACATATTTAGTTGAATAAAATTAATAAGATAAAAGTATAGTAAGAAATGTATGTGTTTTTGAAAATCTAAGAGCCACTTGGAAACCTGCATATTTGATAGTTGCCATTCATTTTTATTTTATTATCTCCAGTATTCTGGCTGTCTGATATTAAAAAAAAAAACTCATATGCATAAGAGTTTGCTTGGATATTGATGGCAGTTTGTACTGACTTTATATTTGAAATTAACTTTCAATGAGTAAAAAATTGTTCGTGCATTAAAACACCTCCTTTTGCTAATAAAAGAGCTGCATATATCTGAAGACAATTTAATTTTTCTTTTCTCTTTAAGTAATGTTACTTTTTTCCTTAATGTGCATGGGATATTTTCTAAATCTAATAATTTTACTGGAATTTGTCATTATTAGTTATTCTTTTTTTTCTCCAGATGAATATTTGTTTTATCAGTATGTAGTTTCAAATCTTTCAAAATGTTTTTTTTTTTTAAATTTAGGGACACTCTTTGGGGTTATAGTCTTAGTAATTGTTCCATTATATTTCCTTGGTTTAGTTTTTTTCTAAGGAAAATTTTACCACATATGAAATTATTTAATCAAAAAAGTTTTTTCATTTGCTTATACATTTATAAATTCTTATGATTCTGATTTATGTAGTTCTTCACATAATAGGTCATTGTTTTACTGACTGACTAATTTTAAAACATTATAACATAGTTTTCATCCACTTTTTGTCCTTTCATTGTCTGTACAGAGGTTACTTTTCTTATTATTGTTTGCTCTTATAGTAATTCTAAGTAATATTTAAAATGAGTTGTTTTCTGATGTTCATTAACTTTTAGTAGGAGTTGATGTTTTTCAGAATATTTTCAACCTTGTGGCTCTCGCGCTCCCTCTTCTGTTGGTTTTGTGAAATGTTCCCTCCTGTTCACTGAATGATGGGGCAGGGAGCAGGGGGTGAAGGGAGGGCAGGAACAAGGGAAAAAACGAGAACCAAGACTTGTCATGTAGAGGTACAAGATCCCAACAATGAATGTAACTGTACTGTATCCCTAAAATGTACCAATAAACTCAATGAAAGCTGAAAAAAAAAGAAATTGTCTTCCTCTTCTCCCATACTGCTCCATTTAGATCCTGTTCCCAGCTGTGTGCTCTTGGCGTGGAGCTCTGATGTGGACGAGGACTTGCTCGGTGAGTGCCGGGATATACTCCTTTCCGGACTGTTCCAGCCCCTTCAGAAGGATCTGGGACAGCTTGTACTCACCCACTGTTAGCATGTGGAAGCCCCTGACTGACTGAATTGCTGTCCCAAAATGTGTAACTGTGGCTTCAGATCCACACGTTAGATATATCCTGATCTGTTAAATATCGTCTGCCTTTCCTCTACTTCCTCCTGCGTGAAGGCGAACCCTACATAGCCCTCGTAGCTGTTGGTGGATGGTTCTCAACATTGACACTGTGAAGTTTTGGTGAATTCCCTGTACTGTGTTGTCCATAGATTTGTAAGAATTGTATTATCTCAGTTTCTCTGTGTTCTTATGGGGACATTTAGGACAATGTCCTCAAAGGCTAAGGACACATAGTGGACAATTTTAATTAATTTTTTTGTATATAATGTAAAAAGACAACAAAGTAAATTAGAGGAGTTTGCAACAAAACAATTAATAAAATTTAAATATCTGAGCCAGGGATTTAGCTCAGAGTCATTGCACCTGCCTCACAAGTGCAAGGTCCTGAGTTTGATCTCCATTCCAAAAAGTAAAATTTTAATAATCAAATATTTAAATATAAAGACAGTTACCTAAGTACAGAGGCAGAAATGCTGCCAATCACTAATCCAAACAGAATTACATTGAATATATTGGTATCAGGTCATGTAAATTTCATGGTATGAACCTTCCATAAATACAGAAAATCATTTTATAATGATGAAAGTATAGTTCTGTAATAGAACATAAATATAAATATGGGTTTAACCACAGAGCTTACAAAAATGGGGCAGATATAACCATCAAAATTAAAAGTTGAGGTAGCCTGGGTCCCGATCCACCACGGGAAGGAGAACCATGCCTGCTCCCGACCCAGCAGCCATCACTCAAGCGCCGGGAAGGTAGCCATGCAGGTGTCCCTGAACCCCCATAAGCCCGGCCCCCTGCCCTCTCAGACCTCCTGACTGTGCCAGTCTTTGGACCCACTCTGCAGAGGCAGAGGTGGTCATCAAGGGTATTTTTCTGAGTTCCCAACTTTGAACATCTTTAAAGAAAGGGCGTGGGAAACCTGTAATAGAACGTTGTGGAGTTCAACCATTCAGAAGGTTGGGGAACTCA